AGACCTCTAGCTCACGTCCTTCTTGGGGAACGGACAGACAGACAGACACAGAGGCGATGGCATAAGCCCGCTTATATAGCTTTTAAGCAAAAGAGCGGGCTAAAAAGTAAAAAAAAAGGCAAAATGGAAGGCGGCATTCAAAGTCGTAGAAAAAGGTTGCAAATCGAACAATTTGTTGAGATTTTAGTTGGCAAAATATGTCGCTTATTTTGAAATCCTCCCATATATAAGTGATAATAGACGGTCCCCGCTGTGCCCATTTCAAGAGGAATGAAGGAAATCGTCACCGGTAACAGTTCTGAAATTGCGGTAAAAACTAGTGCATGAACCTTTACAGTTACATGTACTTTTCCGACGTCATCTAAGTGAAACTGTACAGTTAAATTAGAAAAATAAGCAGACTTTTCATGCTGGTTCCGGTCCTGATTTCCTTGCTTCTTCTCGAAACGCGCAGAGCGGGAACCGTCTATGAGGCATCTTAAGTGTGCTGTAGGTCTTACTTGCTGCTGTAGGGTACTGTGTGCTACAGGTGTCTATAAAGCCGCCGCCGCCCCGACCGCCTCCTTTGCCGCGCTGAGCAAGAGCCGCACCCTGCGAGAAAACGTGTTTTTTTTGTTTTTTTTTAGACGATCCCGTCGGCTATACCGGACAAATTCAAATTCTGCAATTTTAGCGCTTGGCGCGCGCGGGGGGAGCGGCGCATTAGATCATCGTCCTCACCCCCGCCACCAACAATACAATACATCACTACTATGCGCTGGGCCACGCCCCCTAGTCTCACAAACAATAAACAATCAGCACTATACCAAGCCTGGTCTGAAGGTAGCCCAGGCCAAGACGGCCAGGACGCAGGGCCGCGTCGACCCCTCGCCCTCGACTCCAACGACGCGACGAGCACGAGCACCTCCTGGTACTAGGCGAGGAAAACGCTTAAAACGGGTGTTTTTCGCTAGAGTTTCGTTTTAATTCGTAGATTTTTATGAGACGTGTGCATGGGCATGAATACCTGAGGTGAGCAGGGAAATTTAGGCGGTGGTAACACTGCTTGCGTTTTAAGGTACGATGCGTACCCTTATAAAAATCTAAATCAAGAATCTATCTTGAAAGCAGATGATACAAATTTAAGAATATGTCTGTTTTCAAATTTTCTCCCGGATTTAGCTTCATTTGTTTCTGGTTGCTTGTTATTTGCAATTTCAGCGAACAAGCGGCGTTGAAAAGCGCAGGCACAGGGGCCGGCGCGGCCGGCGTAGGATAGTATTGTTGTGCAGGGAGGGGGACGGGGAGCCTATAGTATTGTTGAGCAGGGTAAGGGTAGGGGCCTGAAGCGACACTCAGGCAGCCACCCACCCGGACACGGTTCCGCCAGCGCTAAAGAAATTGTTTTCTGGTCTCCGCTTGATTCTCTTGCCGTTTCGAGAGTAAAAGCTAGCTGAATTTTCTTATATATTCTTTACGTTTAGTCAAAAGGTTTTTAAGGTATCATCTGCTAAAAAAATTCTGTACCGAAATCAGTCCGATTTTCGGACAGTCCTGGGACAGTCCGAGACGACATCCCAGACCTTGCCAAGAATACTACCAAAATTGTGTCAAATCAGCAAATTTTCGGACTGTCCGAAGCCCGCGACCGGACGTCTATCGGACTGTCCGATATGCCCGTCGTGGCCGGACGTCTTTCGGACTAGTCCGAATGGTCCAACCGGCTTAAAAGAAAAGCTGGGCGAGCGGGTTTCATCTCACCTGTCGGTCATCGGGTCCCTTGACCGACGCTGACGGCTGAGGAGAGACGACACAGGAGAGCCTCTTTAGCTGGGCTCAGAATCTCTTACGAGACGAGCGCTGTACCCAACGAACGAATCAGCGCATCGTCATGCGGTTTTCGGCAAATGCTTTTTCATCGCACGAAATGTTCTGTTCAGGTCATGATGAACGACCTTTTTGAAAAATAAAATATGCCTGTTTAGTTTACTCAAATTTGAAGAGGCAAATTGCCAGCACAAAATAAAATAAAATTTTGTCCGATAATTTTTCTGGCGCTTTCAGTGCTCAGCAGAAAGTTGAATATGCGTAATAGGTGGATTAGGATAAAACAAATTTTCATATTTCATTAAGATCTTTGTACGGCTATAGTTTGCCAATTTGTGTAAAAAATGTGTAAGTCTTTTGTGCTTAAACAGCTTGGGACCGTCCTGTGACGACCCGGGTTGATCGGACTGTCTTCGGACCGTCCGAACCGGACTACCGGACTTATAAGGGACTGTCCGGTAGCATCGGACTTTTTACGGACAGTCCTGGGTGCCGAGGGCTACTTTCGGATAGTTCGGGATCGGGCTCGGATTGCTGACGGACTGTCCTGGAACATATTTGGAAGTGTCCGAGACGATCGGACTGCTTTTGGAACAGTCCCGGACGAGGTTCCAAATGATTTCGTTTTATAGGGGTTAACTCTACAAAGGACGAAAACTCAAAGGGTACTTTGGAGGCCCAGCTTTTAGCAGGAGACTTCCGAGCTAAAAGAGCGGCGTGCCACAACACCTGCTGGCTGACACTACGCAACAGCTGACGTGATAAGCTGGACCAGGGTGCGGGGACGTCGGGCCTGCATGTGTGTGAGAGCTTCACCTTTGCAGACCTCCACAATCAAATTGCGCATAATCTAGGTCAAACAGACTCCAGGTATCATAGATTTAAAATGAGTGACCTCAATCGACTTTACACTCAAAGACTGGCCGACCTCGAGGGCATACATTTGAGTGAAATGACTCCTGCACACACTACTCGACTAAGAGCTTGTGTCATTGCACAATTTCCCGAGCTGGTCGAAGAAAAGGTTGGTCGGGAGTACCATCTAATCTCCGAAAAAGCCCTAAAATCTTTGATTAAAAATATCCAAAAAGAGGACGATGCCATGGCGTTTCGCAGAAAAATATTTCTATTGCGTAATGAAATTGCCGAAACAACTCATGAGATTAAGGAAGAGTTTGCTCCGGACTGCCAGGAAAAGTATGTTCCATCGGCAGTACTAGCTGTCATTTCCAGTATATTGTACGGTCTCTTCGCCGTCAAAGTCAGCAGAACTACTCAGCCGGTTTTAGTAGTTTGTCAGACCCTCATTAACAATTACCAACTCAGTGCTCCACGACGAATTGGTTTAAGACACAACCCGGTAAGTCAGAGCTATCGCAACACTGTGCATTTATTAGGCCCCCCAAAGAGGGCCTTCCTGCTCGCGTTCGAGCGCTTTTTAGGCCTCCGATTAGGGGTGCCTAGTGCTTTCGCCCGAAAGTTTTTTATTTTCATTCTTGACGATGGCCCCTTATGTCAAAGCCAATCGTACCCAAGCGAATTTAATGAAATTTGAATAAAAAATACTACGGAAAATTAGATTTTTTTTGAGATATGTTTGATGTAATTTTTTCTGATGAAATTTAAGAAATTTGAGTTTGCATCCACTCGTTTCCATGGAAATGACGAGCTCAGCGGCAGGCGGAGTCGAGCCAGGTAAATTTCGGCCAATCACAAATTTGCGCGGGAAAGTTCGACCAATGGAATCGATCGCCTGTTGCTTTGTACAACCCTACCCAAAAACTATTTGGCCCTGGCGTCAATTCTGTGGTCACGTTTAAATAATGACAGCTGGCCGCCGTGTATCGAGATGCAACACAGACGCCGTTTTAAACGCGGCCGCTGAGCGCCAGCCACGGCTTTGATTGTTGGCTGGAACGGTAGTTCCGCCTGTAATAATTTCGTTTGAAAAGGGGCGGAAAGTATAATGATGCAGCCAACCTATAACTGAAAATAGATATTATGTTTTTACCTCATTTACGATTTTAAGTGTCAAAATATAAAATACGATACGTCTAAATACATACGTTTTTATGTATGGAAAAATTATCAGTTGTCTCCTAATCTGAAGCTATGTTAGTAATATTTTTGAAAAGTTCACGTTCCTTGTCGTGAATGTTATGGCGGTGTTCACTCAAGCAAGCTAGCTTGGCGAACGATCAGCATTCTAAACTTTGAAATATTTCTAATAGACAAATTGTTTCGACTTTTCAGTGCACAGGAAATTAACCAACGTAAATATGAAGATTTTCAGTTGACAATTGAATTATTCTGATCAACATTTAACTTTCCTAGATATTTGGCTGCAGTGTACAGAAAAATCAGTAGCTAATCTGATGAATCGTTGTAGTATTATTTGGCTGAGCTTACGAAGCCTTTGCTGTGATGTGGGGTGCAGATGACTCTTTGGTCGTGTGTCTGTCTGTCTGTACTGGCCTACGTTTCTCTCAGACGGTAACTTCAATTGACTTCAAACTGCGCACGAAGCTTCAGTATAAGTCGACACGTAACGAGTTTAGTTTAGAAGTTTCATATTAGATGTTTGAAATAAACGATCGTTTAATTTGAATTCGTAGTTTGGTGACGGTAGGTTGGTAGCACGGCGCTCGAGGGGAGGGGAGCGCAAGTGGCTCCTGCGCTCACCTAAAGACTTTGATACCTTCTCAGCAGTTATTAAAATGTCAGATAGTCAAACCGAGTGTTTCATTTTTAGTTTTAGAGTTGCGGAACTTAGCCTGCGAAGTTTCACGAGTGTCCGATGAGAAGGAACGAAAGTGATATTTGGAATGGTTTACGTGTTTACTTACGTAAGTAGGAGGGGGCGGGGGTAGTGGTTTGGGGGAAATGTGCACAGGTAACTATTGTTTCGGGTTCATCTTGACAAGAGAAAACGAAAATGTTTTATGCCCAAAGATGATCGGAATCGAAATGGCAGAGTAATGTTCAAATGTTCAATAAAGTGTTAAATCGCCTCTAGCGGCCAAACGGTGCGTCGTAGGTCCATTCTGACGGCAGTTTTCGCCCCGATTAACTCGGAGTCTGAATGGATCGTATCTCGCTGAGACGAACAAAACGCATCCCTCGAACGTCCAATTTGGACCAATTTGGCCATGGCAATCTGTCCATCGTTATTTGAGGGCTAATAACTTTTCCATTTCGACTCTGATCGGCTCTGAGCATAAGACATTTCATTGTTAGTTTTACAAGAGGAATCTTTAACTGGGATTACATTTTTAATTTTGGTATTCACTCGTAGGATGACTAGAAGTCATTTAATCGTACAAAAAGACATCTTAAAGGTTTCTTAAACTTACAACTTATTTTCTTAACAGCAATGTACTTGCAAGGGACCGAACAATATTAGAGCCACAGTCGCAACTTAGTGTAGGATTAGCCGTTCCAAAGCAGAACGAGATATATGATTTTTTTACGTTGAATAGATTTTTCTAGAGCCATATTATTTCTAATGATACTGAAATAAAATGGTGAGAGAATTTAAATTACATTCTATGATAAGATATATTACAGAACTTTCAAT